TTCCGCCCACTGATATATGGGTCAGCCAATAGGAACGCAGCGTTATGGATCGCCCCGCCCCCGCCCCGTCATGATGTGATAGCCGCGCACCTCAGGGTCTCGCCCCGCCGCAGCTGTTACACATGCGAGTCGTTACACAACGCGATCTCCGTCCACCCGCGGCCGAGTGTAGCGTGATGTCCTTGGCGTTTGGTTTCGTTTATCATATTATCCCTCGCTTTTGAAGTATACAAGACGGAGTGTACCGCAAAACATTCTTGAATGGCAGTATTAAATAGCTGATAAAAAGATCTTGCAGATGTTACGAAAACATTAATGCGCAGCAGTGATTTCCTGCTAAGTAACACTTGCACATTTTGTATTGTTTATTTAATATTCAGAGTTAAAACTGTGTATTCTTTCGTGGCTGAATGTAAATATTTTTGTCTTAATAGGTCTACATAATTATAGATTAGGCCTATACCTTCCAGTAAACTTTAAAAATTACAGAAAAATTATAATTTTGTGCTATACATCCGTAATCATTAATGTATATAGGCCTATATATACTGATGGCCAAATATCATTTAAACGATAGATGGGGACTATGCATTTTGCAAGGCAAAATATTTCCTGTCATAAATTTAGCAGTATTAGATTAAAAAATAGTAACCGCAAAGTGAATCAAGCAAACAACACAGGATAGTTTTGGATGTTTATGCAACAAAATTAGAAAATGATGATTTGATATAGTTTGCAGTTGTGTTTGTGACACCAGGGGGGTTGCGGTAGGCACGGTGAAGTCAGCATGGGAATCCGGGACATTAACTGGAGAGCGATATGGGAACGAGAACCGCTTTTTTAAAAAAACTTCCCTCTTTACTAATATTAGGTTTGAAAACTGTTTGAGTTTTATATTTGTCTTTTTCGCTTCCAAAGATTTTTCGTACTAATAACATCTAAACTTACAATTTTTGTAGGCTACTTTATTCGAATCCAGCTGGTGGTTTTTATTGAAAAACCTGAACAAACGGTGTCCTGTGATTCCCGTGTTTCCGTTTCTCATGCTGCTGTTGATGAGACCAGACCTGCACTGTAAACCTAAAGAAGCCATGTAGTCTCTATTAGTCATTACTAGCTGCATGTTTATAAACTGACTTTACCTTCAAATCCTTAAGAAGTAGCGAATGGCACCACAATCGGGGAACATGAAAAAGCTTCCTGTGTTTTCTTATGTATGGCTGTAAAACGTGCCAAGGCTGTACAAGAAATTAAGAATTCAAATATATATGTGACCTATTAAGGAAGTGCCCAGAAATCGACAAAGACTGGGGAATATAAAAGGGCTCCTTCAGAGAGAGTCACCAGATGATATGAGCAGAAGTGTCCACTCCTCTTTTCTGGTATCAGTATCGGGGGGAAAAAATCCCCAGTTTAAGCAAATGCTTGGGACTGGCCAAATCTTGGCTGTGGAGCAGAGAACAGATGTTTTTTTTTTTGTCTGTGTGAAAAGACATATTGTGTTTACATTTTTAAGTTTGATGTTAATGACTGGAAGTGGAGCTTAATGGGGGTAATGGGGTGAGATGCTGAAAAGGCTGTAAGTTCTCTTTCTCTCTACCCCCCCCCCCCCCCCCATGGTTGTGAATCTGTGCAGATCCCACCATCCACCGAACATGGACCTGGAACAAAACAATCTTCACCTTCCCAAAAACTCTCTTAAGGTTTCTTTGAAATGTGTTTTTTTGTTTTTTTTACCAACCACACACATTAGCCACTTTTGATTTTTTCCTCTATTTTCTCTCTTTCTTTTGGCAATGCAACACAATTTATACTGGACACTGTATATGTACTGTTGGAAATCCTTCAGTGCTCTCTTTCTAAAGAAAAGCAGAACATTAACATATATTGTTGCTCCTAAAATGACTCACATTCTAAGCCTACTAAACCCACATTGCACGAATGACATTATTTCACCCATTTATCGGAACATTAACTTACCTTTAGTGCTAACAGGTGCTAGCATGGCCACTCACAGTGAAGCTAGCTTTTTTATTGGAATTAACTTGCATGTCCTGTGCCCATCTATTTTGACAGGATCATGCGATGATTTTCTCTGAAGTGGATCTTGTCCTATTCCCTCCGCGTTCGGGTGACTGTGGAGAGGGGGCCGTGTGTGCAGGCTGCTCCCAGTCTCATTGGTATAAGGCAGGGCTGTGCAGCTGACGATCCACAAGGTCCGAGCACTGCTGGTTTTCCAGGCTGATTTTCCTTCACCGGTGAGCCAGGTGTGAAGCCTCTGGCCAATCAGAATCTGTAATTATTAAACTAGCTACCTGGGAGAACTGAAAACACGGCATGGCCTGGATTTGGAATTGAGGTCCAGAGTTGAATAGCCCTGCTATAAAGCTTTAATACGATTCTTGCTGCCTGTTTTATTCAGTCAGCTTGTTACAGGTTATTCTCTAATGGCTCTGGCCTACAGATTTGCTGATCATTGACAGCGATGTTTAGTACCTTCTACGTGCTGCTCGTCAAGTTAGTGTCCGTTCGGCCAAAAGCACATCAGCCTAAATGAGACTGGCGCAATTACTGTTGATAATCTGAATCTATCAATAAAAAAAAAATCAACCAATAAAATCAACTAAAAAACAATAAAATCAGTAAAAGCCCTCCCCCCATAACATGTGGATGATGTTATGTAGACCAGAATTTGACAAGGTTTATAAACAGACACAAACTCTGGTCTCTCTAAAATATAACCATCTCTTCCTCAGGAAATCTGTTTCAGGAATAAGCTTTTGGTTTTGAGGAATGTTTTCCTGTGTCTTTTTGTGCGTTTTACCTTTGCCGGCTATTTTCTGCTCCTGCTGTGTGTTGCTGGAATGACGTCCAATCGAATGTGAGTATAGGGCAGGGAGTTCATCGCGCTGCTGGTGCTCGCAGGACATGAAAAGATCCAAAACCGACTTTATTCTCCACCACTGGGCCCCAAAGGTGTGGCTTATTGAGGTTACAAAAAAGCTCACATTGAACACACGGTCATGGTAAGGCTTAATTTTCTCTTTTTAGGGGAAATGAGCTAATTTTGTCCAGACTGCTTCGAGCTGATAGTTGTGTGCAGGTGTGTGTTTATAGACTGTTTTCTGTCGGAATGCTGTCTTTCCCGCCCTATCTTTGCTGATCTTGCTGTTTTTTTTTATTTATTTATTTCCTGATTCACCCCTTTTACGCAAGTCCAAAATATGCACAGACCGCAAGGCATCTCAGGTAGACCTCCCACTGTCCACAAATGGGCCTCTGTTCAGGGACTAGAGCGCCAGCGAAAAGAGCAGTTAGCTCATTCGAAAAAATAAAATGCCGTATTCCAAGCAGTCCGGGGGGGTTGCATGTGTGGCCCAGGCAGGAGAAACAGCCATGAAAATTAAGTCTTTAGTAACATGTCACTATCTGAGCATCATGCATAATCATATTGCTAGGAATGGTTTAAATCAAAACAGCCCCACAGAAGTCATTATGACTAAACGAGAAGGGTGAGTCATAATTAGTTCTATAAATTATTCAGATGGTGCCAGAATTGGTTTTGTTCTTCTCCTCATACTTGGTATTAGATTTGAATATTTTTCTCCCTTTCTGGGAAAGTGAAGAAGACAAAAGGTATTAATTAAATGAGAACTTGAGTTGCGTCCTGTGTCCATGGCAGATGTTGTGCTTGGCTGCAGGATGGCGGGGCGGGGGGGGGGGGGGGGTCATTTCTGTGGGACGGGAACACTGCTGCCTTTCTCATCAGCGCTAATCGGGAGCTCGCTGCCCCCAGCGAAGTCCCACTCCAGCCCGGCGTCCGCCGCCCCGCTCTCTCCCCTCCTCCCTTGCCGCCGCTCCATGGCTGTCTGTCGCCACGGCCCTCTGAACTCCTTCAGATCTTGCTGATGCTGAATGAAGTCTGACGTCTCCCTGTGGGCTCATCCTACATGAAAGGCTGAGCCGGGAGCAGCTAATGTCTCATGCTATAGATGGATGCCAGCCTCAGTCATCCGTGTTTATTACTGGGGAGACGCATGAACCCAGGAACCAGTGAAAGGGGGAGAGACAAAGACAGGAAGGCAGTGCTGCTCTAAGCCTGTATGGGGCCTTAGGGGGGGGGGGGTTTACTGCCCCCACCCCCCCGCAGGCAAACTTCAGGGCCTAATATCACTTTGGACAGAGGGACAGAAGCGCTGTGTTAATTCTATGTGGCTTAGTGAATGAACGTGTATGAACTGAATGGTCTGTCTATGTGTAGTTGTGTAAAACTAACTAAATGTAATTTATTTGTATATATAGTGTGTGTGTGGTCATGTGTATATATTACATTGTGGGGACCAAATTGTTTGATGGACATAATTTGTCCTCGCAATGTGATGATAACCTGTTATTTTGTCCTTGTGGGGACATTTTTTGGTTTTTAAAAATCTGTGAATGCAGTCAAAAAAAACTAAAAATGTCAAAAGGCTTGTATCTTGTTGGTTACTTACGGTTAGCGGTTAAGGTCGTCATAGTTTGGATTACGGTTATACCCATAGAAATGAATGGAGAGTCCCCACAATGGTATAGATACCTAGTGTGTGAAACTTTAGGATTTAGTGATCAGTGTTGACACACCACAGCGCACAACAACGAAATGTGTCCTTTGCATTTAACCCATATGTGATGTCGTGACATAGCAGTGGGCAGCTAATTCAGTGCCTGGGGGCGGTACCTTGCTCAGGGTACCTCAGTGGTGCCTTGCTGGTCAGGGATTCGAACCTACAATCTTTCAATCATAAGTGCGCTTCCCTGACCACTAAGCCACCACTGCCCATATCTTTGGTCAAGTAGAATTCTTTAGTCAGATACAAAATGGGACAGAATGTTTTTAAGATTGAAGAGTATTTGACACAGATGAAAAGTGATACGAATCCATAGAACATGAAGGTGGTACGAAACGCCTATGAAGATGCTCATCACAATTAGTGCTGCTGGGTCAGTAATGACAAAGTGGAAACATTAGACGTTCAGTTTATGAACAAGTAGACTTGAGCCAATGAGAGGGAAACAGTCACTTTTTTACAGAGTTACAGAGTTCATTGTCTGAGTGAAGTGCACCAATCAGTGTTGTTAGTTAATTTATCGTTAGTCATTGGGTTTAGAATAAGTCTTGCCTGTATGGTAGTGTGGAAAGAAATAAATCTATCCATCCATCCACCCATCCATCATGTGTCACTGGGCAGCAATCTAATTAGGGATGCCCAGACCTCCCTCTCCCTAGCCAGCTTCTCCAGGGGATACCAAGGTGTTCTCAGACCAGCCAAGAGATATGATCTCTCCAGTGTGTCCTGGGTCTGCCCCAGGGCCTCCTCCTGGTTGGACAAGCCCCAAACACCTCCCTAGTGAGCCATTCAAGAGGCATCCTAGATAGATACCCGAACCACCTCGACTGGCTCCTTTCGATGCGGAGGAGCAGTGGCTCTACTTTGAGCCCCTCCTGATTGTCTGAGCTCCTCACCCTCTCTAAGGCCGAGCCCAGACACTCTGCGAAGGGAACTATGCAAAGCTTGTGACCATAGATGAGGGTAGGAGCGTAAATCAACTGGAAACTCAAAAGCTTTGCCTTGTGACTCAGCTCCATCTTTATCATGACCGAATGGTGCAGCGTCTGCATTACTGCTTACGCTGCGCCAGTCTGCCTGTCGATCTCGCACTCTCTTCTTCCCTCACTCGTAAACAAGACCCCAAGATCAACTCATTCCCCACCAGCTGGTCCAGCATTCTATGACCAGGATATAATCCGCGTTAATCATCCTGGATCCAAGGTTCTATCAGGGAGGCTGAGGAGTGTAATCCCCCTAAAGTTGGAACCCATCCTCTGGTCTGCCAATCCAAAGGCACTATCCCCGACTTCCACGCAATGCTGAAGAGGCGTGTCAACCAAGGCAGCCCAACAGCATCAAGAGGTTTTAAGAATTCAGGGTGAAACTCATCTATCCCCCGGAGCCTTACCACCGAAGAGTTTTTTTTTGACTACTCCAATGACCTTGGTCCTAGTGATGGGTAAGTCTTCCTTTCAGTCTTCCAGCTATACTTCCTCCATGGAAGGTGTATCAGAGGGATTCAGAAGGTCTTCAGAATCCTTCTACTACCACCTGACTATATCCCCATTTAAGGTCGTCAGTTCTCCATCCCTGCCGTAATTAGCATGGGTAAAGCCCTGCTTCCCCCCTCTTGAGTTCGCCTGACGGTTTGCCAGAATCTTTTCTTGGTCCTTCTCCATGGCCTCACCAAACTCCTCCCACACCCAAGTTTTTGCTTCAGTAGCTGCCAAAGCCGCATTCCGCCTGGCCTGCCGGTAAGAAAGAAACGATTACTAGAAAGAAAAAGAATCTCACAGCATGTCTGGAGTTTGCCTGATGCCGTGAGTGTGTCTGGTGAGCTGTGGCAGGAGCTCTTGTGTTCAGATAAGAGGCCGAAGCTCCTGAAGAAAGGCCGCCTTTACAGTGAAGTATGCAGGTGGCTGCATGGCGGACGGGGGGAGAATGAGGCAGTGTGCGTGAAAGTACTGCTAGCGAGCTTGTTTCTCACATCTTAACGACCAAAACATGGAGGGTAACTCACCTTTCAGTAAGGCGCTGCTCCTACACCTAGAACCAAAGTAACACGGCGGAGTCTGAGTCCCAGCCTCGATCACACTCAGAATTATTGGCACTATTTTTAAAAATAAGCACCATTAAGTCGAATGAACTGTAGTCTATCTGCCAGTAGGAACAGGCTAAACCACTGCGAAGCAGCAGGTAAAGCCAGTGCATAGTGTACCTACCCCGAAAGAGACAAAGGGGGCGCTCCGGCAGGAGGGCGCTCTTCCAAAGGTTAATGTGTCCGGACCGAATGCTGCTTGTATCAATATGCTCCTGTTTTTGATTTCGATTTTCCTGTTTTTTTGATTTTGCCTGCTTACAAGCGGCGATCGGATCTTTGAGAACATTCAGAAAGAAACAAAGATCGCAAGTGTTTCAATAATTTCAAAAAAGCTTTTTAAAAAGTCTCTGCGTCCGTTGGAAAGACTGGCCGTGATTGTTGGCAGCAGCTGGTAACTCTGACAGAGCAGAAATGAAGGCGAGGATTGGAAACCCCCCCCCCGAAGGAAGTTCAGTGCTCCATCTAGACCTTTCTGCCAGTTACATGTCAATGTTCTCTGCTCCCATTATTAAGGGGCCTCATTTGTGGCTGCGGCAGCCAAAGTCTTCAACACCATGCCTGCGGGCAATTTACGGTACACCTGGGGCCAGATGCTGCCGGTGCCGAGCTCAGGCGAGTGCCAGGCCATTAACTGCTAATGTGGTCAGTCTGAGTGTCGGATACGCCATGGTGTGTGTTTGGTGCATTTCGTCGGGGGGGAGAGAATGCAGGAAGCATCCTCTGCATCCTGGAGCTCCCCCTTCAGGTGAGGCTGATTCTGCTCTGCAAAAAAAAAGCACAATTTTTTTTTTTTTTTTTTTTTTTACACCAAAGAGAAAATTTAAAAAGTCAAATAGAATCCAGGGTGAGAAGTAGTGTTTGGCATTGGTGAGAAAGGTGTTCATTTGCAGAAAATTTCAAGAAACAAAAGAGCGTCAGTTATGCTGAAGAAAGGGAACTAACTTGAGAGAGAGTGAAAGTGAGAGAGAGTGAAAGTGAGAGAGAGTGAAAGGAGAGAGAGTGAAAGGAGATGTCATGCAGCCGCAGCAGAAAGTCAGAGCCGTGAAGCCAGTTATTTGTTGCTGCATTTGGACGGGGATCTTTGTGAAGGGAAAAAGGAAATGGGGAAATAATTAGGAGCCTAATATAAAGTGAATGGATGTTATCAGCAGGGAGGGGGCTGATGTGAGGCCCTGGAGAGGCTGGGTTTGAGCAGCCCAGCTGTGTGCTGATCTCCTGTCTCACGCTAGGAAATTAATCACAGGAGGGAGTGTTTTGTTGAATTCTTGTGTACATGTGTGTGTGTGTGAGTGTGTGTGTGTGCATGCGTGTGTGTGTGTGCGTGTACGTGTGTGTGCGTGTGTGTACATGTGCGTGTGTGAGCGTGTGTACGTACATGTGTGTGTACATGTGTGAGTGTGCGTGAGTGTGTGTGTACATGTGTGAGTGTGCGTGAGTGTGTGTGTGTGTACATGTGTGAGTGTGCGTGAGTGTGTATGTGTGTGTACAAGTGCGTGAGTGTGTGTGTGTGTGTACATGTGCGTGTGTGAGCATCTGTACGTTCATGTGTGTGTACATGTGTGAGTGTGCGTGAGTGTGTATGTGTGTGTACAAGTGC